GGTATTTTGATGTCATACACCGATCGGTCTGCACACGCAAACAAAGCCAAAACCTAGATATTTTAGGCAATATAGAAATCCTGGCCAGGACGCGTCCTGGGAAAATGGCACGTATGGTCACCCTATTATATTCATAGATATTTGTGACAAACTCTCACAGCCTGCCACTTCTGTTACATAAAGTCAAAGAACCTCTAAATTAATATTGTTACTATTTAATTTCAACACCACAGATCTATATGGGAAAATCAACCCCCTCTAGCCTTTGTGTTTTGAAACACAATTATTTACATGTTTGTCTTGCTTAGCAAATTTTGTTTAGAGTTTTGCCATTTTACAAAGTTATTAAATAATTCAATCACTTTAAACTTAAATAGTTTTCAAAAGTGCCTTGTGTTTCAGGTTTACATCTCAAAGTTTGGTAGGCCTGCAGAAGTGGATATGTTCTTTAAATGGCTATTTTCAGCCAAATGACACTGCTTTGAGCTAATGCTAATTTCATAATATGAAATTCATACATATTTTATTAATATGAATAATTTGAGTACTTTATTTGCTTTTTAAATTATTATTTTAAAGTATTTTTTTTCTTTTGGCAGGAAAAAAACACTATTTCATGAACTAGTTGCCCATAAAAAGGGGGGCTTTTATTTTGAAAAACGAACATGTGGCGTTGTCCTACAATCTGGCTTCACAAATAATGCTCATTACCTGCATATGGCCAAACGTCGCTAGACCCGACATAAACTACAGTTATATTTTCTGGCGAGGCGGGACGTTGTTTCTGTACAACATAAAATGCTGCTGAGGTAAACAGTTATTAGCATTTATTCTGTGCAGCCGTACAGTCAACAGAAATGTATGTGTCAAAAGAAATTGCCTTTAGAAGGAATTTGTGCTCAGATAGCTACCATCACCATCTGTTTTCTGTAGTCACTATTACTAACGAGTTATTAATATCATTAGCTCGTGCACATGCACGAAATGTTACTACTGTTAAAATGCGGTTCAGCATTGTTTTAATTATAAAAATTATAAAATTGCTTATAAAGCATTTGTAGTAGCCTATGTTAAAGTTGTGCCACCTGCATCATGTTTTAACATTGAAAGAAGATTTTAAAAGTGCTATGTCCGTCTTTTGTTGCTGCTGTGATTGCACCGCGCTGTGTAGATGAAGAAAACGTGATCGCAGGCGTTGTCGGATGCAGGCAGGTGTTGTGATCAGGAGCAGCGGGCAGGACTGCAGGTATGGACACCTGGACACCCAACCCAAGAGCCAAACCCTTCATCCCCCGCCAGCAGCGCAGCCTCTACCTCACATGGAAATACAGACTCACCAACAAAAGAGCAGTACGACGAATCTGCCAGGTCAGCACATGTCACGTAATAAGATTATTCTTTAACACTTACCATGGGGGTTTTAAAGGGGTCATATGATGCGATTTCAAGTTTTCCTTTCTCTTTGGAGTGTTACAAACTGATCGTGCATAGATAAGATCCCTGGCGTTGCAAAGACTAAAGTCTCAAAACCAAAGAGATATTCTTTATCAAAGTTAAGACTCTGCCACTCCCCCCTAAAACGGCTCGTTCTAACACGCCCCCACATATCTACCTCACTATGTGGAAATATTTGCATAATGCCGCCCAAATGTTCACGCAAAGAAAGAAGGCGTGGTTTCAGTAATCGCAGTTAGTGTTGAAGCAGCCATGTCAGGGAGATGCTGTGTGTTTCTAGGCGAAAGCAAAAGCACTTTATTTGGCCTTCCGGAAGTAGATGCATTTAGGAATCTTTAAGATGACTTACAACAGAACAGCAATGCATTTTATGGACGACCGTTTCGTGAACCTAGGAGAGGAGGTAATTCTGACTTTGCTATGACAATCTGGCGCTTCTGAATCAGCTACTGTTTTGTTATTAGTTTAAGTATTTGCTATTGACTGTTCAAATGCGGAGTTTTGCGCATCGTGTGTGTGTGTGTGTGCGCGCGCGCGTGTGTGTGTGTGTGTGTGTGTGTGTGTGTGAGAGAGAGAGAGCGAGAGAGAGAGAGAGAGAGAGAGGGAGAGGGAGGGAGGGTCACATCACAGTGGAGTCAGCTGTCTTAACCGTGGCTTGTGTACTGCAAACACATACCAGCTTCATCACTGTCTGTCACGCGACTCTGTTCCCCTTTCGGGCTCTGTCTTTACATTTATTTTGAAAGATAATGATCTTTAAAAAAGCATCATATGACCCCTTTAAGTTTTCTTTCCTTGTGATGGTAAGCTCTATTATACAACCTAAAGTTTACTTGTATTTGCATTTGTGTTTTTATATATAGACTTATTTATTTATGCCTTTTTATTAATACTTTTTTCATTGTGTTTTTTTTTTAATAAACAATTAATTTAGTATTCATCATTAAAATAGCCTTTATATATTTTTTTATTATTTTATTTATTTTTTGCAAAATAGGGCATGAATTAATTTAAACTACTTTGTCATTCCATCTAATAATCAGTAAAAAATCAAATAAAATAAACTAACTGATAGTGATAACTCACTAACTGATAACAGCACAACTGTTGATCCACTACTTTGCCACAAGATCGTAATTACTGACAATGTCATAATGGTAGATTGTGGCAAAGAATACAGGCATTTCACTTTTCCGGTTTTCACAAGTGCCGTAACGAAAGTTTGGTTATCAGTTTACGTTGCAGTCATGTAATGGTCATGTATTATGGTTGGCTGAGCAGCACTTGATCCTGAGATGAAGTTACAGTGGGGTCCAATGTGATTCGGACCATACTGAAAATCTGTGGTTCAGTATCTGGAAATAAAACAAGTGTCAGGATTTTTTTTAAAAAAGAAAAGAAATGCGAGTAAAAATGATTAAGAAAGGTTTCTTGCATAGGTCACTAATCAAAGCAAATTTGTGACACTGACCATGTGATTTTTGCTCAAAAGTTCAGATCATGTTCTTCTGATGAAGCACCAGATGTTCAGTGGAACATCTAAAATTATGCTGTACAGCATGATCATCAGAATTTATTCTTGTGTTCTTGCAGCTTCAGTTCAACTTGCACAAGAATTGTAATGCTGCTAATATAAATTGTAACTTTACAGAAAGCTTTCTGATAGGTTAGGGTTAGGTTGTAGAATTTATAGCTGGCTATATTTAAATGCAGTAGAATTCTTTGAAATGCCCCCATTTAGATAATGTGTGTGTGTGTGTGTTTGCAGGCCAGTGCTGTCCTGTTTCTACTGATCACAGTGATTGTGAATATCAAACTCATTCTTGATACAAGGAGAGTAGCCAGTGGGGAGGATGCAGCTCAAGAGTATGGTAATGTCAATTAAGTGCCTTTGTGGACATTGTTTTATGATGCCTTCACCTGATTCAAAATATTACTATTACTTTAGTGGAATTGTAAAGACACTAATATCATTGTGCTTTCAAAGGTTTTAACTTTTACACACTGTCAGTTTTTAATTAATACCATTCTTTTTTTGCTATCATTGAACGTTGTCTCAGATGATACCCTGCCTAACATGGAAACTCCACGGAGACCAGCCAGTGGGAGGAAGGTTTTGGATATCGAGGTGTACTCTAGTCGATCTAAGGTTTATGTAGCAGTGGACGGTACCACTGTGAGTGCTTCTGAGCCTGTTTTATGATAGGACACAATAGCCACACCATTACCAGATAACAATATTAATAATATTTGATGTATTTTTGCAGGTTCTGGAAGATGAGATGAGGGAGCAGGGCCGAGGCATACATGTTATAGTTCTAAATCAGGCAACTGTAAGAACGCACATTCACTTCTCATGACAAACTGTATCTTCTTTTATCATTACTATCTTTTTAAGTTGTCCACTCCATAACTCGAACATTATTTAGATTATTTTGGAAGTTTGTATGATAACATTTTGCTGTATCCTCTTCTTTCAGGGTCATGTCATGGCCAAAAGAGTGTTCGATACTTATTCTCCCCATGAGGATGAAGCCATGATCCTCTTCCTCAACATGGTCACACGTGGCAGAATCCTCATCTTCACTATTAAGGTTAAAGAAATGCCTCTCCCATCCACTCTCATGGATTCAGATTTGTGTTTTCTTTGTCTGTAAGTGCACTTCTTATTGGCCTCTTCAGGATGAGGGGACTTTCCACTTGAAGGATGCAGCGAAGAATCTTCTGAAAGGTTTGGGGAGTCAGGTAGCTGTCACCTTAGGCTGGAGAGATATGTGGACTCTGGTCGTGAAGAAGGGAGGTAAGGACAATGCTTTTTTACTTTTTAATCATGTATTATACTATTGTTCAAAAGTTTAAAAGTTAAGGGTTTTTTTTGTTTTTGAAAGAAGTGCTTATTACAAAGGCTGCATTTATTTGATCAAAAATACAGTAAAACAATAATATTGTGAAATATAAGATAACTGTTTTATGTCTTAATATTTTAAAATGTTTTTTTTTTAATGTGATGGCAAAACTGAATTTTCAGCAGGCATTACTTGTCCTCAGTGTCACATGGTCCTTCAGAAAACATTCTAATATACTGTAATAAATTATATTTTATAATATATTAAAACAGAAAACGCCTCTTTTTTTCCCCACTGTGATGTGAGATAAATGTACTATTTATTTTCTTAGGGCAAGTTTATGGGGAGAAGCACTCGAAGTCTCCTGCTCTGTCCACATGGGGTGATCCTGTGCTGCTGAAGACTGAGGTCCAGCTGACAGCTTCTGAAGGTATTTCTGCCTCTATTATTATGAGTGTAGAGTTCATTTGTTGCAGTTATGTTATGGATCATGTTGAAACTGTCTGTTGACTTTGTGACTCATTTCAGAGGCAGAGTGCCATTGGGCAGACACAGAGCTGAACCGCCGGAGGAAACTCTTCTGCAGTAAAGTCGAAGGATATGGAAGCATTTGTAGTTGCAAGGATCCAGCACCCATAGAGTTTAATCCTGACCCAGTAAGAAACACATCCTGTGGCTAAAATACCTTTTATATATATATATACTATCATTAAAAAAGTAGTAGTCAGCGAGATTTTTGTATACTTTTTTAAACACTTTTATCGAGCATTAAATTGATAAAAGTGACCGTAAAGACTTTTACATTGCTAGAAGAAAAATCTATTTCAAATAAAGTATTTTCTTTTGAACTTTCTTTTGAGTCCTTAAAAATGCATCACACTTGCTTTAAAAACAGATTTAATAATCTCATGCGTCAAGGCATTAACTTTTACACTTTACGTTACACTGTCTGACCTACCAAACTGTGCGAAATATTAACATGTTTTTGTCACAGTGAACTATTAAAAAGTTATTTTACTGTGATACATTTTTTGATACCATGATATGTTTTTATCTATGGTATCAGGGACATAACAATCAATATGCATGATGCCAGGACAGACTACATGTTTTTTTTTCTCTCCAAGTTTCCCTTTTTACCATTGTTTTTATGCAGAAGTGTAAGAATTTCAGTTGTTAGTGCTTGTTATACCCCTCATCCTGAGATAACTTGACTCTTAAAAGCATTTAGAAAGCAGAACAAAGTGTTTGTGTTAAATCTGTGTGGTTGACTAAACATTTCCATGTCCTGTCTAGCTGCCTAACAACAATGTCTACAACGTCCCAGTAGCAGTTATAGCTGGAAATAGACCAAACTATCTATATAGGTTAGTAAACGTACATTTCTTTGTGCTTTGCCATACTACCAAACCACATTATGTGGAGTTGAATGAATTAGTTAAATCTGTGGCACGTATTGATATGTTTTTCTGTTTTTGTTTGTTCATATATTTTGTAGCCAACCAATAATTGATTTTAGGAAATTAATACTTTTATTCATCAAGGATGCATTAAATTGATCAAAAGTGACAATCAAGACACATGTATTTCACATACTTTTTTTTCCCCCACGTTTTGATTTGGCTTCAGTGGAGAAATCAGAAATCCTTTATATAAAAAAAATGCATACCTTGAATACCTGACTGAAGCCGTGTTTGTTTCTCTAGAATGCTGCGCTCTCTTCTTTCTTCCCATGGTGTCAATCCACAGATGATCACTGTTTTTATCGATGGCTACTATGAGGTATTGTCTCCTTTTCACAATTTTTTCTCTCCTCTTAAATGCATTTTTTCTTCTCCGCTTTTGTGAGAGGATTTATACATATTTACAAACTTAACAAAAGCTTTCTGGATAGGAACCCATGGATGTGGTGGATCTCTTCGGTCTTAAAGGAGTTCAGCATACGCCTATCAGTATTAAGAATGCTAGAGTGTCACAGGTGATATGTTTGTGAGTTTTGTTTGAAAATGAACAATTAACATGGAAAGGAATGGCCAGTGATAGATGATTGCACTGCTCAAAGCCTGTTTGTGAATGACCATAAGATGGCACTAATATATTGATGTTCATTTTGTCTCAGCACTACAAAGCCAGCTTGACTGCAACCTTCAATCTGCATCCAGTGAGTAAATGATCACCTGCCTCACACCTTATATACAGTTACATTGTGAAACAGCTTGCAAGTGTTTGACTTTGGAAAAAAAAAATGTTTTAGGATGCAGATTTTGCCATTGTCTTGGAGGAAGACCTGGATATTTCCATAGATTTTTTCAGGTATGGATATAATATAATATAACATAAATATAGTGATAGATTATATCAAATTAACAGTGAGTGTATATATATATATATGTATGTATGTATGTGTGTGTGCGCACGTGCGTGTGTAATAGCTGTGTATATTAATAATTTTATTATAATTAATTTTACTGAATTACTTATTTTTCCACTAGATGGTAGCAGACTCCCATATTATTTGTCACAGGCTAGTTTAGAAATGTGTGTGCCGAATTAATGAGCTCAACTCTTAATAGAACAGATTGAGTAACAACATTTGACTCATTGTCTCTAAATGTCTTTTAAATGTGTGATTTATTTCTTCTTCTCCAAAATTTGTCTCTTAGCTTTCTCAGTCAGACCATCCATTTGTTGCGTGAGGATGACAGTCTGTACTGTATCTCAGCCTGGAATGACCAAGTGAGTGATGGAGAATAAAAATCAGAGTTTCTTTTCAATTTGTTCATTACTTGACAATATGCTATTTTTGTTTTTACTTTGTCAAAGTCTGGGGGGTAAATGCTACCAAATGCTCTTCTTTTGGTATATTTTTCTTCTGCTAAACAATGGTTACTGATACCCTCAGATTAAACTACTGTAAATCTTTAAAGGCCTTCAAGCAGTGCTCTTGACCTTGCTGCTGTGCTGTTTTGCAGGGCTATGAGCACACAGCAGAGGACCAATCTCTGTTGTACAGAGTGGAAAGTATGCCTGGCCTTGGCTGGGTGCTTAAAAAAAGCCTTTACAAGGATGAACTGGAGCCCAAATGGCCAACTCCTGAGAAGGTGAGGCAGCTAATTCCAGCATTCAGCCTATAATTTATGTCTAAATAGGAGATGTTTATGTATTTACAGTTTACATGCAAAACCCCTCAAAACCAATGTCTCATGAGGCACAATTTTCCGCTCCATTTACTTGCACAAAAATTTCTAAAAGTGATTAATCCTCCTCTCACTATTGGGAAGTGCTGTTCTCACTATGGATTTTAGTATTTTGTTCTCTCATTTAAATAACATTGCTAACCTTTGAAGAGTCAGTCTGTTGAATTTCAAGAGTGTGTACAGTGTATATAGTAATGACCAGAAATTATATTTATTTAAATAAGCACATATAGTGCCTTAAATTTGATTAAAAAAAGCAAAAAGTAAAAGAGTTATTGAAATAATAAAAGTTAAAAAAAAGAAAGAAAGTCATATCGTGGAATAATGTTACAATTTAAAATAACTGTTTTAAGTTCCCTTGCGAACGGTCTGAATCCGCCCTCATACTGTGCCGGCTTGAGACTTATCTATAGTCCTCATTGCCCTACGGGGCCCTCCCTTCGAGCCTCTCCAGTCGGCCGGCTTGTGGCCCCTGTCGCTTAAGACCGCCCTCCTTCTGGCTTTAGCGTCGGTCAAGCGAGTGGGTGACCTGCAAGCACTGTCAGTCAGTGCTTCATGTCTTGAGTTTGGACCTAACCACTATAGAGTCATCCTCAAGCCAAGACACAACTACATGCCAAAAGTGCTCTCCATTCCATTCAGAGCACAAGTCATCACCCTTCTAGCGCTCTCTCAAATTCAGAAGGTAAGCAGGGTCCTAATCCACTCCGCCCAGTTCAGGCCTTTAGAGTGTATATTAAGCGCTCTGGCCCGTTTCGGCACTCAGAGCAGAGCTTTGGAGGCCACTCTAAAGGGCTGCCAGTCACAAACCAGAGAATATCTCGCTGTATAGTGGATGCTATATCCCTGGCTTACGCCTCAGCGGGCGTACAGTGTCCTATAGGAGTGAGGGCCAACTCTACCAGAGGAATGGCCTCTTCCTGGGCTTGGTCCAGCGGAAATTCTATTGGTGATATCTGTGTGGCCGCCGGCTGGTCATCGCCATCTACCTTCACCCAGTTTTATAACTTGGATGTCCCTGCCCTGCAGGCACACGTTTTGTCTGCCTAATCTACCTAACACCCTTTTTGTAAGTGGGAAAGGTTGTGTTATGTAGTCCTCAGCCTAGCGGCTCGGGTCTCATTATAGCTCATGCTTACAGGAGCCCTCAGTATGGGCACTCTGGGGCTGGGCTCGCAGAGCGGCTTCGTTCTGCTCTTGCTTATAGCACAGCACGGTTGGATGGATGCGTTCCCCACAGCGTGATTAACACAATGGGAGAAACCGTTTGAAAGGGAGCGTTATTCCTGTGATAAAGTTTCAGTATTATAAGATGCTTCAGAAATCATTCTAATATGCTGATTTGGTGCTCAAGAAAAATGTATTATTATTATTATCAGTGTTGAAAACAAACAATATAAACAAACCTTACTGACCCCAAACTTTTGAATGGTGTCTATCAGTTAACTATATTAAACTTGTCTGTGGTATCTTTCCCTCTTTCATCCATTTGTACTGTTGCCATCCCTTAGCTATGGGATTGGGACATGTGGATGCGGATGCCGGAACAGAGGAATGGGAGAGAGTGTGTCATTCCTGATGTCTCCCGCTCTTATCACTTTGGCATTATTGGCTTAAACATGAATGGTTACTTCCATGTAAGTGAGATGGTTATATTTGCGTTAACGTCTGTGATTTATCTATATTCATATATTAACTATTACTTGTAATTTAGTATATTTTTCCACTGCAAATTGAATCTGGGATACTTTGAATTCAGTGATGTGGAATTTGTGTCTTTTCTAACATTTCCTCATTTTAAATAATGTTTTATTCCAAACTGTGTTTGGTATGTTTCTCTACAGGAAGTTTACTTTAAGAAGCACAAGTTCAACACAATTCCGAATGTTCAGATGAAAAATGTAGATGGGTATGTATAGTTCCATATTAGCCTTCATATTAGCCCTATTTATATCCTTTTTCAGACATATTCTCTCTATGTTAACAGCTTGAAGAAAGATGCATATGAGATTGAAATCCAAAACCTTCTACGGTAATTTTATCGGATGATCATACTCCTCTATTGCATAGTTAATGTAACATCTTAAAATTGCATTATTACATCAACTGCAGTAATCATTTCGGTGTCTGCAGTGGGGCCGAGGTTCTGGACCACAGTAAAAACCCATGTGAAGACTCATTTATCCCAGACACAGAGGGAAAGACCTTTGTAATGTTCATCCAAATGGAGCAGGAGACAGATACAAACACCTGGACAGAACTGGCGAAGGTATGTTGAATTTTTTAATAGATCGTCAGTTTGAATCTGTATGAGAGATTTCGGTTGGGTATCTTAAGTCACAAATGGCTGCATTTCAGAGCAGGTTAGCCAGTAGTTACTCTGCATGTATTGTTACAGTGGGTTGCAATGAATCTTAGCAAAGTGGTAAGTCCTATTGCCTGTTTTTATGTGAACTAAAGGTGCAAAAGTCTGGCTATTTTTTTAAGAGCCTGCAAGGTTAGATAAATGGCTTATAAACACTGAGAGAGGAAAAGGTTGTATTAGGTTATGGCCTTATCTTGTTTACTGCTCATAGTGCCTGCACGTATGGGACCTGGATGTACGAGGTTATCACAAAGGACTGAAATTTATTTTTACATTTCATTAGAAGTATTGTACTTTCAATATTGCACTTTCCAATAAGCACAAATCAATATAATGTCGACTCATACACATGGTTTATTTTACCTCATCTAGTGTATTGATTTATTACAGGCTATTTATTATATAAATTAATATCAAAGACTTAGATTTACACTCTATCTACATTATCAAAACTGGTACAAACAAAAAATATAACAGTGAAATTCCTAATTCCAATAATTCCAAATTGCAATTATGTTTCTCTATTAAAACAACTGTGGTTAGGTACGTGCATTTATTCAGCAACCACAATCGCAAACAATATGTGACCACTGCTGGCAAAATGAGTCACAATTAGCAAATTTTTTGTTTAAATGAATGTCAGTTTTGTAAAAATGAGTTGTTTTTATGTTCACATTCTCCATTAAAAGACCTTCAGAATGATGTCTGATTTGTTGGAATTGGACTAAAATGACTGAGTTACACCTGTTTAAAGTCGATAGTCACCAAAGTCAATTTTGAGAAAAATCTTTTCCTCCTCCTTTTCTTAATAATAATTATTATATTAATAATCACAATATAGCTATTTTTATTTTATCTTTGTTGTTATAAAAACAGATGCAAAAAAAAACAGTAGAGCAAATATAAGAAAGAAACAAATAATGCATTACCTTTTTCATTTTACATCTAAACAAAAGCATTCAATTCCAATCTCACCATACTCGTGAGTATACTTTACATTGTTCAGGTTGTTTAGGTTAGTCAGTTTACAGTTGTGTGCCCCAGATATGTCACAGATTCTCAGTTAGATTTAGATTGGGGCCTGTTATATGACTTTTTGTTTTTGAGCTTAACTGTCGTTTGTAAGGCATTATTTTTTGTCTCTAATCTCAGAGCTTCATGTCACAGTTCTTTACTCTTATTAAAGGGTAGTTCACACCCAAAAATGAAAATTACCCTATGATTTGCTCACCCTCAAAGCATCCTAGGTGTATACGACTTTCTTTTTTCAAACGAATCCAATCGGAGTTATATTAAAAAATGCCCTGGCTCTTCCAAGCTTTATAATGGGTGTTAATGGGTGTTATTTTTCAATAGTCCAAAAGAAGTCCAATAAAGTGCGTGCATCCATCCATCATAAAAAGTGCTCCACACGGCTACGGGGGGCTAATAAAGGCCTCCTGAAGTGAATCGATGCGTTTTTGGAAGAAAAATATCCATGTTTAAAACTTTATTAACCGTAATCTCTAGCTTCCGCTAACTGTCATACGCGCGTTCACAATGCAATGCCGTTCCAGCGGATTACATAGGCGTAGCATAAGCTCGTAAGAAGTGTCTAATGTGGAAGCGCAGAGGAGAGAGCAAATCAAAACACCGGTCACAAATTGGAAGTTCAAAACGAGGATTTGTAAAGAAAAATGTCATAGGATTTTGATATAAGCCAAGAGGACACTGGTTTTCCTTTGCTAAACAAAGGAAACTTTGCTTCTTTTACTCCTGTACACAAAATGTTGGTTCTCACGAGAGTAATATATTCTCACCGGACCTTACACCTTTGTTCTACGTCATCCGCTGGAACACGACACTCTTTATAAAGTTTTAAATATGGATAGTTTTCTTACAAAAACGCATCAAATTGCTTCAGGAGGCCTTTATTCAATCAACCCCCCACACCCCGGAGCCGTGTGGGACCCATTTATGATGGATGGATGCGCTTTATCTTTTTGGACTATTGAAAAATAACACCCATCCACTGCCATTATAAAGCTTGGAAGAGCCAGGACATTTTTTTTAATGTAACTCCGATTAGATTCGTCTGAAAGAAAAAAGTCATATACACCTAGGATGCCTTGAGGGTGAGTAAATCATGGGGTAATTTTCATTTTTAGGTGAACTATCCCTTTAACAATACCAAAGTTAAACAATATAAAAAAAAAAATATTAGAAATAAAACCATTTAATTTTAGGATGTGTAATTCAGTCAAATAAATTATACACACACATACACACACATTTTATATATATATATTTTTTATATTTTTATATATATATA